TTATATGATACATTAGAACAGAGTCGTATTTACTTAAAACTACGACTATATGCAAATATACATATAATTTTATACGGCCGACGGCCACAGTATTACAGTATTTTCATTTCTTAACGCGGGCTATATGGTATTGAGATTTTTTTATTTTAAAGTCGAATTTAGGTGGGGATCCTCGGGAGTTTCCCGAATCAAATAACAAAAACTAAACATTCGCATCACCGAGAATTAGTTTGAAGATTGTCGAAATTCAGAGATTACAATAATAATGTTTACGATAAAATGTACTTTTCGTCATACTGACAACGATAGGAATATTGTCGAGTTTTCTTGTGCATTCTTGACAATGTTAGGGCCCCCTCAATCGCGGGGCCCCGGTGCACAGCATCCGCCGCCCCCCCCCCCCCGATGGCCGGCCCTGATAGAGAGGTTGCGCCCGACGTTTCCATCGGGAAAATGTGTACGTCGGATGTTCAGCGCTTCATTCCTGTAAGCCTAGAAGTTTGGCAATGGCATTTGGAACGTCAGTGGAATCATGGTCGACGTTCCAAACTTCATTGTCAAACTTTTAGGCTTAGAGGAATGCGGCGCTGAACGTCCGACGTACACGTTTTCCCGATGAAAACATCGGCCGCAACTTCTCTAATTTCTGTATTATTTCTATCGGATAGCCCTGTTGTTCTACGATCTTTAAGATGTAATTCAGCTCAGTTACGGTGTCCCGTATGCTGGTACAGTACAATATGTATAAGCCCTTCTTATCAAGGATATAAAAGCTGCCAATTTGATGTGCCTAAGATCAACAGAATTATGTGGAATTAAAATTGGTTGAAAACATGGTTTCCTGTATATCTTGGTCCAAATTTCGCCATATTTGCAAGAGATGGAAACGTCCAAAAAGTTTACAGTTGTTTCACTCTCCTGGCCTAATTGTAGGAGTAATCCGTAGGGATTATCATTGATCGCTTTTAAAAATTGCTGCAGGTTTGGTTTTCTCTGCCATAAGATGAAGATATCGTCAACATATCTAGCGTATAAGATAACGAGGTGTTGAAATTTAGATAAAATGTTGTTTTCTAATTGTCGCACTACCAGTTCACAAAGAATTGCTGATGTGGGACTGCCCATAGGTACAGTACGCCTCTTCCTTGTAAGCATACCTTGTTCTCAAATTCAAAGAATGATGTACAGTCGACCCCCTATAACACTGTTGATTTTTCCGTTTTATATGAATTCCATGTTGTATGAGTCACTTAGATTTTACAAATACGTGTGCTGGGCTGTAACGGCTCACGTATTTGTAAAATCTAAGTGACTCATACAACATGGAATTCATATAAAACGGAAAAATCGTGTTATAGGGGGATCGACTGTATAACATATAAGATGCGCAAATTCCAGTACAAGACTGCGCATCATCAATGTTGGCAAACAGGAAATCCCTTTTATGTATTCATGTTCTATTCTATCGTAACTGAAGAAGATCAGTGAAGCTGATCGAAAACGTTATTATTTAGTAAATTTCATTGCTGGATTTTTTAAATGCGTAATTTTTTGTTGTAATCTATCTATCCAGTTGATACAAAATATATTTAAAATTTTGGTGGCACCATCTTTTATTAGATTTTATTTTAAAACTTTTTATATTTTTAAGTATTATAAAATGACAAATCGCTTAATTTTTAGGGTAGAGATAAGTTTTATATAGATAAGTCCCCCAAAAATTCCTAGGCGAGGGGTAGGCTGCCATCTTGACCGCCCGGCCATCCGGCCAAACTGACTATTGTTTAGGGAACCATCTCGTATGACGGTCGGTCACCTCTAGCGATCTGGAGCGAACATGCGCTTAGAAATATGCCACTCTACATATGACGGGAATTCGAATGATTTTAAGTGATTTGCATTTTCAACCTGAATTTTCTCATTTGTATATTGCGCCCTACTACCTGGCACACGTAGGATGCACTATAACCTCGCCGAGTTTGATCGAAATCGGTGACCCGAATGTCATACCGTTCTCTCATTAGATACGTACATTTGAGATCACAATAAATACACATAGACCTAAGCCATCTTTTATGTTGGATATACAGTATATACGAGTAATGCAATTAAGTGCTTCTGCAAAAGAGAGAAAGAGAGAGAGGGGGCGGTGGTTTCAAAGTCACGTGGCATGTGTAGCCAATTCCTGTGATGATTCATTCCTACTTTTAAGAGCAAAAGTTCCATATATATATATATATATATATATATATGGCAAACTGTCGCAGGATAGCATATGGCACTGTACTGTACCTGTATGCCTCCATGCTAGACCTTATAGCAGCATGTATCCGGCCACGATTTATTTTATTTATTTATTGCTTCTACTGTTTAAAGACTGTCAGTTCTCTAAAAACCGAAAACTCCATTTTTGCATACGTAACGATTTTGAGCGCCATCTAGTTACGACGATGGTAATTTTTTTTTTTTATTATAGAGGCGACAAATCGGTGTAGGCGAAGGCCGTTCATAAATTGTTCGGAGTTCAATGTCTCGCCGCATCATTGAACCCGGCGAGGAAAGATGAAAAATAAGATTTGACGTAATAGCATTTTAAAATAATGATTTCTAACGAAGAAAAACTTTACTTAGGATTTGATTTTAGTACTCAGCAAGTAAGCTATTCTATTTTAAGAGAAATGAATTTTTAATTAGTCTATCATAATTTTATAATATTTATTATAATGAAAAATATGTAATTCTTTGTATGCAAAAATGTTCATATACAAAATAGGTCGCTGGTTATTTTATTTTTGAGCCAAGAGGATTTTAACGCTTCACCCACCTGCAATAAAGGTTGGATGTCCGTCCGGGTGGAAAGGAGATACATTTTTAAGAAAAGAAAAAGGAATTTTGTATATGCTATGTAAATGAATCAACAGAGTTATGTGGAATTAAAATAGGTTGAAAACATGGTTTCCTGTATACCTTGGTCCAAATTTTGCCACATTTGCAAGAGATGGAAATGTCCGAAAAGTTGTAGCTTAATCTTTTATATGCTATGTAAATGAAAGCAGAAAACATTGCTTTTTTATAATCTTTAATATCATAATGTAAGCATACATACATACATACATACTCAAGTTCATAATCTAAAAAGGGTGAGCAGTAGGCAAAAGGAGAATACCATCCTATCTAATGTAAGCAGATTAAAAATTAGGTGACTGATGGCTTAATTCTCCATATATATACAGTTGAATTGTCTATCTCAAACATGTTTACCTCTTGATCTTAAAATTTATTTTTTTTCCTGCATTTTCAGTTCAATATATTTTCCACGTTTATCTCAAATAATTTTCTCCCAAATCTTCTATATCTCAAATTATGGACTAAAGTGTCAATTACAATTTCAAAGCCTGGTGACTCCATTTTGATAGCATAAATTGTAGATAAGAAACATTTCTTGTATTACAGTACATAGTTGCAATTAATGCCTCTTTTATCTGATTGGCTACAAATTTGGCTTGTGTCTTGGTCGAAAAAGTCGGGCATTAGGAGCTATTGACAGACTGTTTCCATTAAGGTATGTCAAAAATGCTTTATTTATATATAATATAGGTATGTACTGTACTTGCTATTGTATTAATAAAATACTGTATCTCCAATCAAACCTAGGTTTGATTGGAGATACAGTATTTTATTAATGTTTACTGTGTGTATGTTTACTTTGTGAGAAACTCTGTATCTCCAATAGTTTTCTCGTTCTGTTGAGATTCGAGATAGACGAATTCAACTATATGTAGGATTAAGCTGTTGGTTTTGGTCACTTAATTTTTAATCTGCTTACATTAGGATATTAAAAATTTAAAAAAAAAAAAACAAATGTTTATTTTTATCAATTTATCATACATCCAAAAATGGCCATAACTGATCAAAATGAACCTTTATGAATTTTTTTTTCTTTTCATATTTGTCTCAGGATGATTGCTATGTTGTTATAATTAATGTCTTGTGCTACATAATATAAATTAATTGAAAAATAAGTTCAATATAAAGTAATTTACAATATACCTGAAAGGAGAATGTAGAATTGAATAATATAGCCAGATTTGACATAAAGGAAGGTCCAACTTAAAATTTAATATGAATCATTACACATTTTAATACTTACATAATGGATTAATAAAACTACAAAGTCAGATGTCAACTCCAGGGGCGCTGCTAGCTGTTTGAATGCCTGTGTGCAATACTGATTATGCCGCCCCCTGTTTAACTACAACTACCTACGCTGAGCTTGCCAGAAAGGCTCTTTAGTGTTGTCTCATAAGGGTGTGAAAAAAGAAAAGAAATACTTTACAAAGAAAAACTATTTATTGTTACTAAGTTATTTTTGTTTACTTAAGTGTAAAACCATATAAATATTTATCTACAGAAATTGAACTCTTCTTGCCTTTATGTTTGTGAAATCTGCTATCAATTTTCTTGTATCCAAGCTGTCTAAGATTTCATGTTCAGTTGAAACTATAGCTAAATTACTTAGTCTTTGCTGATGCATTGTTAATCTTAAATAGTTTTTTTTATAAGTTTTAACTTTGAAAAGGACTTTTCACCAAATGCAATTGAAACCGGCAATGTAAGTAATATTCTTAGTGCTATTGCTGTGTTCGGAAATGTTGAAATTAGGTCATTAGTAAAAAGATATTGTAATAGGGTTTGTAGATCATTAGACTGGTTTTCTGGAAAATGCAATTTGAAAGTATTGATTTCATTAAACAAATCAATACCGTCAATGTCTGTTTCACTGCTTGAATCGTCTTTAAGCTTCAGATTTAAATCCTAACCAAGTTAAAATATGATTAATTATATTTATACCCATATTAGAAGAATTATTAGCAAAATAATTGCAATTTGATATGCAATAGAACTGTTCGAATGCATACAAGTACAAATTGAGAAGGAAGCTCTGTGGGGATTCCCTATTTTCACCAGTCCTGTCAACTTCTGTCATAGAGCACGACTATGGGTACTTGGCTTTCGGATGCCGCTGGATGGTTCAACCTGCTGACAGACGTTTCGCATTTCATCTTAATTCTGGTAAATGCCAATAGAGGCACTGTTAACGCTATAATATAAATAAGAATATAGTAATTGCGCGCTGGTCGGATATTTTCTCCATGTGAAGACATTTCTTATGCTATAAGTAGGGTGGGTATTATGACAGTGACTTTGAATATTACGTGACCGATCGCTCGATTTGCCGCCCCCTGGACATGCCGCCTGCATGCGGTGCACGCCTTGCACGCCCGCTTATGGCAGGCCTGGTCAACTCTACAATTAAATTTTTTCAATATTTAGTTAACTTTATCATTATGAAGAGGAGCCCATTCTTGATAATGCAAGTATTAGAATTAATAGGACAAAAATCTGCCAAGTGGCTAGAATTAGTGGCTTGATCTTAATGAGAAAATTGGAATTGTTAAGTACAACTAAAAAATTATGTTTAGAATTTCATCACATGCACGCACGCACACACCCACACACAAAAAAAAATACCATTATATAAATCATTTCAAAACACAAGTAATGTTACTTGTTGTAAGGTAGGACACACAATCTTTGTATGACATATGCAAAAGCAATTTTTATGGAAAATAGTGTTTTTATAATTGCAAACTTGTATATATTTCTTAATATACAGTGGATTCTGTGACTATGTTAGAAAAAAATATTAAGCTTTTGGAGCTTAGAAAACACAATTATATTAGGTTAGAGCTCTATCATTTGATCATTTATGTAATTTGAGCTTGATTTTCTATATACACAAAAATATATAAGCATGAAATACAATAAAACTTAGAAATTATTTCAGTTCTTGATTTTTATATATCTGCAAGATTTTATTGGTTTTAGAACATATGGGGTGTTCTGCTCAAAAGTATCCAATTTTAATTTGCTGTAAAAAAAATAATGATTTAAGATATATAAAAGCAATAAGTGGCATTTGGTGGAAAACTCATCAAGTTTTAAAGAAATTTTTTTTTCATACTGCAGGATGGTACAGAAGTCAAAGTGTGAGCATTATTGTCTAGTCATAGCTTAGGAGAAAGCACAAGTCATGGTCTGGTATTCCTGATAGTGTGTCTGCCAAACTCTCTTGATCTGATCACCTTAGATTTTTTTCTGTAGGGTTATGTGAAAGATATAGTTTATGTAACTTTGGTCAGAGACCTTTAGGATCTTCAGGAGTGCATCATTGCAACTATTGTCATTGTGAGATAGGACAAGCTGCACCATATGTAGCAGGAAATTGCTTACTGCCTTGATGTTGTCATTGTGACTACTGGATAGCACATAGAGATGTAGTGATTTTTTCAATAAAATTTGGTGAGTTTTTCACTCATATAAAATCTTTGGTGAACTTAACATCTTCAGCTGCTACTTTTTTAACAGCCAAATCAAATTGGGTATTTTCAAGCAGAACATCCTGTAAATTTTAATATATAAGGATTTAAATTTATATTTTAACATTTTATCAAAATATTTGTTATATTTTATAAACTGCTTTATCTCTTTTTTTATTTTAAACTGATAAATAAAAAATACAGTTTTAAGTTTAAGATAAAAAATAATCAGATAAACTCAATAATTTGATATTAAAACTATATTATCTGTCTCAAATGCATCCAATGATTTTGAATAGCAGTCATTTTGATAAGATTTACATATATAAATTTTAAATAATAGTAAAAGATTAAATGTTTGTCATTTAATTTTTACAAATTTATATAAAATTGTTTTTTCAATTTATCATTGATCATATGTAGATGAATATAATAGCTCTACTATTGAATTATTTTATATTTATTCATTGGTTGTTTAATAAAATAGTTTATTGATGGACTAGGTTTATTGTATTATTATTCTACATTAATGTATTGATTTTTTAAACATTTTTCAGTTGAAAGCAATTGCAATCAATGATGAACTAAATGTTACTAATGAAGCTTCTGTTCATTTTGATTCTGAATTACCAGAATTTAGGTTAATATTGATTTAATTAATAATTATTAATGATTAGAATTGTTCTCAAATTAATAATAATATATTTTAATTGAAATCATAGAACTTATGGAGGAGTACATAAAAATCAAGATGGCCTCACAGTTACTGCACCACCAGTTATGTGGATAAAAGCATTAGACATAATTTTGGAGAAACTAAAAGTTTCTGGTATAGATTTTTCACAAGTTGTTGCAATTTCAGGAACTGGTCAAGTATGTGATTTAAGTAGTATAGATTATATTTTTTTATTCTGTAAAATTACTATTAATATATATATATATATAAACTTTTAATAGCAACATGGTAGTGTTTATTGGAAGAAAGGTTCTCTTGATGTTTTATCTAATTTAGAAAATTCAAAATTTTTGCATAATCAATTACAGGTAAAAATTTTATCAAATTAGGTTTTAATAATTAAATAAGTTTAAATTTGTTCATATTATGTATATGCTATATTTTCTATTTACATAGAGCTGTTTCAGTATACGTGATTCTCCTGTATGGATGGATTCAAGTACTACTACAGAATGTCAACAGTTAGAAGAAGTAATAGGTGGACCACAAAAATTAGCAAATATTACTGGATCAAGAGCTTATGAAAGATTTACTGGTAATCAAATTGCTAAAATTTATAAAAAGAAAAAAGAAGCTTACAAAAACACAGAGGTTAGTTAATATGATATATACATATTGTATATATGAGAGAATTTTTTATTAATTTATTACTTATTAGCTGTATAAAATTTTAATTTAATAATTTGTCTTAGCGTATATCATTAGTGAGTAGTTTTGCCGCATCATTATTTCTTGGCAAATATGCACCGATTGATATTAGTGATGGCTCTGGTATGAATCTTTTAAATATCAATACTCAACAATGGTGTAAAGAATGTTTAGAAGTAAGTTTTCTTTTTAATGAACTAAGATCTGTTTCAAATTTATAAAAGCAGCTATTTTTTATTGAATATTATTAATAGGTATGTGCACCTGATTTGTATGAGAAATTAGGAGAACCTGTAACTTCAAACACAAATTTGGTAAATAAAAAACTATAGTAAAACTAAAATATAAATCAAATTTGTTATAAGTTAATGTGTTTTGGATAAGAATATTCTGGCTTTATTAACCTGTAACTTAAGGATTTATAATTTTCATTTTGATAATTTTTCTGTATAATGTTTTCTTACAATGATTATATGAAAATCATTTATTTCTGCAGGGAAATATTTCTCCATATTTTATTGACAGATATGGATTTTCTCCTGAATGCAAAGTCATTGCTTTTACAGGAGACAACCCAGGTAAGAGATAATTTTTTAAGTTATAATAAAATTTATATGTTTTTTTTTAATTAAAAAAATTTATAAGGATATTTGTATTTAAAAATATATACAGGTATCTCTCATATAACACAATAGTTACATCCCAAAAAAGTGCCATGTTATGCAAATCCATGCTATACAAAACAAAGGACTAATACAAAACATGGGGTTAGGTTCCAAAAGTTAACAAAAATATAGTATTCTTTTTCACTACTAAGAGAAATTTGTTTATTAAAGCTATCAATAATTTATTTCTAATCAATAATTAACTAATAATTATAATTAAAAGTACAGTATGATGCATTAATATTAATTTTAATTAATTAAATGAGGGCGTTTTGTTTTTATACAGTATCATCATCATTATCTGAGCTTTTTTGTCAATTCTAGTCAGAAATATCAGCAACATCTTCATTTTTTTTTATTTTCATTGTAATTTTTTATGGATGACGAAATAAAAATATGTTATTAATCTAAAATTTGTTCTAGAGGGTTGCATTTGTTCAGTTGAATACTAAGGGACTTTTTTTTCCGGAATTTGTGTTTGGAATACCAAATTGTTAGAGTTGGAACAGTTTTAGTATCCAGATATCACTGTATTTCATTCATTATTTTTATGAATGGATTACTTACCTATGGCTAAAAACAATTTTTTTACAATAAATTTGGTGATATCTTGCAGACAATATTTGCCATCCCCCATTACAACAATCCTAATCAATTAAAAAGCAATATGCATTAAAACCAAAATGAAAACAAAAAAAAACAACGTGAGAATAATAAAACAATAATAAAAGAAATATTAAAAAATTATTTGGAGTAAAGTATCTTTTTACAAATGGCTTTGAATTTATAGAAGCCAAGGAACAATTTGTCTTCAATTTTGATAGCAGTAGAAGAGAGATCTAATTGTTGTGGCAATAGGGTGTATGGATACAGGTTAATAATCTACTATAATAATTTAATAACACTCACCTAAAAATGCTTAAATAAACTTTACTGAATACAAAGATTAATCTATAAAAAAAACATAGTGACAATCTTAAGGACTAAAGCAATGACAATGACACTTGGTTGATAGGAAAGCTAGGATGAGAAAGAAAAACATTCTATTATCAGTTTTCATTGAAGTAAACGCAATGAAAGGCACAGAACAAATTAAAAATTTTAATATTCTAAAATCCATGGGCAAATTTGAGATGACCCACATGCTTACTTGAATAAAAAAAATATGGAATAACAGGTTTACACTTAAAAATTGTGAAATTTTGTATGAAAGAATTTCCAAACCATATTAGAGTGAAACCAGAAACTGTGTTATATGGGTGATATCCACAATTTTCGAACTGTGTTAGTATGAAATCATGTTGTAGAAGTGCTTTGTTGTATGTATATAACAGTATAATTTAAATCAATTTATAATTTTATTTACTGCAATTTAATACTAATGATCAAGAACAACAGAAAAAAGTTTAATTTGATTGAGTAGAATTTAATTTGGAAAAAATATAAATTTTAATTTCATTCATACAAAATAACATTATTTACACAAAATGGGATTTAATTTGTGAGTATCAAACATTAAATAAGTGTGTGAATTGCATTCATTGGAAAAGTTCTCAATTTCAGACTCTCTCTGATACATTTATTAAATATAATTTCCAAAAATTAGACATGAAATATATATTAATATATTAATACCTACATGTCGACACTTTGCAAATTGCAAGATCATTTGCATTTGGAGCTAATATGTAAAATATTAACCATTATCAGAAAAATTTGTATGTGAATTTCATCCTCATCTTTCTTAGTGTTATATTTTAAAATATCAAAAACTAAAAGATAAATTTGTTGTTCACTATGCTGAATCATTGCTATTTTTCATTCTTGTGGATATTTGTAAGATTTGGGGGGAAAAATGATTAAAAAGTTAAGCATCATCAAAAACAAACACTCAATAAAGATTTAACTCAAAACACATTGAATTAATAAAAAGTATACCTCAAACTGTATTCAAGCTATGCTACTAATATTGTAACTCAGAATATTTTACTCCCAACAATATTTATAAAAGTATTGCATTTTATACTCTTGATTTTCAACAATTTCTATTCTTTTCATATAAGGAGAAAGAAAGTTGTAAATTATCTCACCTGATTTAACTCCTTGATTGACAATGATTAATGTGAATGTGGTTTGAGGGAATCATTGTAACTGACAGCTTACTTTGGAAAAAAATTCACAAAAAATTATAGGGATGGCTTTCTGTCTGGAAACTGATTCAGATGACTCCATAGATTTTGTTGATATGGGAGTTGAACTTGTTAATTAAACCAATGAAAGCACGTTTTTTGGTTTGAATGATCAATCTTAAAATTTTATTAGTAGTGTATAGTTAGATAGGAAAAAGCAATGCTGTGTCATGCTATCATGTAGGATAATCTAACTCAATCTTGATTATTTTAAATGGAAGGTGTCCATATGAAAGGATGTTAGCTTTAAAGCAAAGTTTACTAAATTATAGAACAAAAAAAATTTAGAAATTAAAATTTTTAGATTCCCACACATGTTGTGTCATTATGTGGTATGTGTTTAACAGTATACATATCATATTGGGATAGAGATTAAAGTCAACTCAAGTTATTGTAAGTCTGTGGATGGAATATTCACATAGTAGTGAGTTAGCTGAATATATGGCTACATTATAATTCTAAACTGATATATATCTAGAGACAAAGATTTAGAAGAGATATCCATATAATATAATAGGTCCATCTTTCAAGAATTATTGGTTCAAATTCTGTTCCAGATCAATCTTTTTTCTTCCATATGTTTCTGAATTATTTATTAATTAGTTATCTTAATGTCTGTTTTATTTCACAATGAAATGATGATTTAAAACATCATACTTTGATACATCCACTTTATTCAATACCAATTCATATCTTTTATACATTTGTTTGCCAATATGGTGTGAATAACTCACTGCCTTATGGCATTAAAAATGATTTTTTGTTTGAAAAAACAAGTACTTTCTATAGCTTACAACTATTCTGACCAGGCTGAATTGATTTGATTCAATTTGAAAATGATTTTTCAGTAAGACAGTGAGTACTTTACACCATAACTGTTTTGGCATGAAGTGTATTTCATATTTTTTACCAATAAACATCTCAGGTTTCCACCCATCTTCTGTTGGCTGAAATACAAATTATTACTATATTTATTTCAATTTTATTGATTTATTTATTGATTATTTTAATTCTAATAATTAAATTTATTGCAGAATGGCAGCACATGTACTAAATTATTTAATAATTAAATTATAGCACAAAAAATAGTGTGCGTTTTTGGTTGTTTGTTGTTTTATTAAATATAAAAAGTCTTACACTATGCAAAAATTTTTAGGTTAGAAATGACTGCTAGAAAGATATAACTAATATGTACAAGAATTGATTGGCATACTAGGAAGAATTTCAAAAGAATACATATAGAAAAAGAAACTCATTTAATTCTCTATGTATTATGTATGTATTTAATTCTATATTTTATTATATTCTTTTCCTAGAATATAATAAAATCCTTCAAAACTTTTTGCTAATTTTAATATAAATATTGTTGTTAAATGATGTATATATGTGTAATAATGTTTTAATTTTAAGATTGAAGATATACTTTTATCATGAAAGAATGAAATTACTTATTTAAAAAATATTCTTGTAATTTAGCATCTTTAGCTGGAATGAGATTAAAGAAAGGAGATATTGCATTAAGTTTAGGAACAAGTGATACAGTATTTTTATGGTTGGAAAAGCCTAAACCTACTTTAGAAGGACACATATTTTGTAACCCAGTAGAAAGTACAGCATTCATGGCTTTATTATGGTAAGTGTTAATTTTTGAGATTCATATATTTGTAATATATTATATAAGAAAGTATGTACGATGTATGAAAAGGAATATGCTTAAAAACTTTATAAATAAAAAAAATTGAAGGAATATAGAAATATTTTTGGTGTGAGTTTAAGATATTAAATAAATATTTATAATGAATACAGTTACAGTGCAGTCCCAATTATCAAGGTAATGTGAACCATGAGTATATCAGATAATAAAAAACTCAAATAACATGGAATGATTGGTAATTTATTAAATAAACTTGATTTGGATGCATTAATGTGTACGATATACTTTATTTTTTAGGTAAAACCTACTTAAATAAAATTAAAGTCATTATGTTCAATAAGTGTTTTATTGTATAATTTAAAACTTTACTTATTAGTTAAAGCAAGCGTAAACTGGTGATTATGGTTAAAATTTTTTCAATCTTTTTTGAAATTTGTATTCTTATGAGAAATCATCAGAGTTATTTTCAAAACTTAAAGCTTCTTTCAAGTGCTGTGTATTGCCTGGCTGAGATTCATGAAATGATCTGTACTGTGTTCTCTTGTCTTTGTTGATAAAGCACTTTTCACCAATTATTATATAATGTCATTTAAGTTGGTCTTGGTTAATCAGGACTCGACTATATAAGGATAATTGTGAAGAATCTATATAAATAACCATATAATATGAAAAATAGACTTTTAAATTAAAAATTATATTTAAAAGCATTTATGTTTTTATACATCATATTACAAAAAATTTATCAACTATCAATAAATATGTATTGACCTTATAATGCAAAATTATATCATCAGCCTATTTGCTGGTAGAATTGTCAAGTTTGTGATCAGAGAAAATGAAAAGTAGATGAGAGATTAAAATGACAATGCTTTACAAATAGCTAATTGTTAATGTTAATAATTTAATGAAGATATAAGGATATCAATAGTTTATAATCATCAAAGGATAAACAAATCCATATTATAGAATAATGTGATAACAGAATAATGATAAAAATACAGCAGAATGCTAATGAAAATGTCTCACAGAAAATGAACTATCGGTGAAATTATTCATATTGAATTTATATAACAATTGAAAATGTAAACTTGTATCACAGGTAAATTTACATATTCTGGGTTATTTTAGAAAAAGTTCATATATATAGATATATTTCAGGTACACAGTATTTAATCATTCTGTTTTTCAGATATAATAATTTGTTAATATGTTTTTATGATTTTATTAATTGGAAAGTTCATTATTGATATATAAAATAACTAAAATTATGAAAGAAATATTGAAACTAAAATTGAAATTTTTAAAAATTAGTTTCAAAAATGGATCTCTGACCAGGGAGCGTATCAGCAATGAATGTGCTGAAGGATCTTGGAAATTATTTAATGAATTACTTGAAAGTACTCCAAGAGGAAATTTTGGTAATTTAGGTAAGAAAGAGAAATTAATAAAAGCTATTTAGCATTGGAAACTTATTAATAAAACAAGTTTGAGTTCTAGTATATAATTAAATGACTACTTAAAGATAAATTTGTTTCATATTGAAAAGTATTTTTGACAAGACTATGTCTTGTTTATAAAATTGTACTGCCTGGTGTGTTACCAGCTTAGAGGTATGAAGGAGTACATGTCAGGAGTTGCAATTTGGCACATAAAAATTTGTGACCAAATCATGCACACACAAAAAAAACTAGACTTATAGGTACTCAGGACCAAGAACAGAGTCAAAATATATATCTAGTATAGTAAAATTGTGGAACCGATAAAAATTTGATGTTATATTAGGGTTGTTGTTACATCCGATGACATTATAATTGGGTTAAACTTTATATAAATTGTTTGTGCAAAATAAAAAAATGATTTTGGACAATACAATAGCCACGATTATTTTTTTTAAAAACGAGAAGTTTTCGTTATGCGTCAACAAAAATTCAACCCCACAACTGAGAGAAATTTCGAAATTGGATTAATTTTATTGAAAATGCATCGTGGATGACCTCGTAGTCGTGGCTGGCAAAGTTTGAACGATCGCACCCAAAAGCAGTGATACCAAAGAAGATTGGAGAACAAGAACGAAACCTGCCTTGAGTGTCAAGTGATTCTGCTTAGTAGTGAGTCTCCGAGACACAGTCTTGTTCCCAAATACGGTTTTGCCATTTTACTTGTTTATTTTTTATCTTGTAGATTAATGCTGAATATATTGATATATTATTTAGCTATACGAGGGCTGTTCGGAAAGTTCGCGGCCTCAAATAGAACAACAAACAAAATAATGTTAAAACTTTTTTTATTTTTCAATGTAGTCTCCTTTGTTAGCAATGGACTTATTTCAGCAATGTTCTAGCTTTTCTATGCCTTCACAATAGGTCGATTTGTCAAGGTGTGCAAAATACTCATTCACTTCAGAGATGACTTCGTCATTTGAGTGGAATCTCTTTCCAACCAAGAATTTTTTTAGGTTTGGAAAAAAGGTGGAAGTCACTGGGGGCCAAATCAGGTGAGTACAGTGGATGTGGAACTAATTGGAAGCGAAGTTCGTTTACCTTTTGTTCAGTGATTCTGATGGAATGTGCAGGTGCATTATTGTGGTGGAACAGAACCTTTTCCTTCTTCAAGTGTGGCCTCTTTTCTTCGATTTCTTTCTTCGGTTTTTCCAAAGTTCACAGTAATAGACAACATTAATGGTCTTTCCTCTTTCTAGGTAGTCAATAAAGATGATGCCTTTAGCATCCCAAAAAACCGAGGCCATCACTTTCCTTGCTGATGGAACTGTCTTTGCCTTCTTTGGTGGTGGCGAACTGTGGTGTTTCTATTGCTTCAACTGTTCTTTTGTTTCAGGAATGTAGTAATGGATCCACGTTTTGTCAGTAGTCACAAACTGATGCAAGAAATCCTGTGGGTTTTTCTGGTAGAAGTCCAAACACTCCTTTGACATCAAAGTGCAAACACATTTTTGCTCAGCGGTCAGCAGACGTGACACCCACCTTGCTGAGACCTTCGTCATACCCAAATTTTCGGTTAGGATGTGGTGCACTCGGTCGACAGAGATGCCTGTTGTCTCAGCTATCTCATGTGTTTTCAAACGGCGATCTGCTAATACCAAATCGTGAACTTTGTCGATATTTTATTCAGTGACAGCAGTTGACGGCTGTCTGCTGCGAGGGTCATCTTCCACACTCTCTCTGCCAGATTTAAAAAGGGCTGTCCATTTTTTCACAGTGGTGTACGAAGGAGCAGACTCTCCCAAAACTTCATCCATGTCAGCTTTAATTTGAGATGGGGTCAACCCTTTTTTCGTCAGGTATTTTATGACCGCACGAGTCTCCGTCTTCTCCATTTTTGACAAAGCATGTGCACACTGACTATCTGCTAAGCTGTCGTGGCAAAACTTTATGACAAATCAAGCGGAAATTGGTATTGTATCTCTAGCAAAGATGGCTGAATTATTCTTGCCAAAAATTAAATTGATTGCAGTGCCGCATATAGGCAAGGCCACGAACTTTCCGAACAGCCCCCATAATTAGTTTTACCTTTTGATAGACAACTTTATTTCATATTTTTCACAATGATAATATATGATTAATGTTAACTGTTCTCTAGGTAATATAAGTATGAAAATAAAAAAAAGTCAATTAGTTATTAGTTATTTTTATTCAATATTATTCATTTACTTATATTGATATTGATTATCAAAACAAAATTTTATTTTAGTATTCTTTAATGTTAATACACCAATATAATATGACAAAGCAATTACAGTTGAATCTGTCTTTCATTGGAAATGACAAAAAAGTTCAAGATAAACATGCTTTCAGATATAGAGCTTTGTACACAGTAAACAGTAATAGATTTGAGTTTGATTGGAGGTACTTGCTATTGTATTAGGTATAAATAAAACATTTTTTACATACCTTAACAGAAATAATTTGTCAATACTTTCTGATGCCTAACTTTCTTCAACCAATAAGACATAAGCCGACTTCATAGCCAATCAGAAAATCATTGTTAATAGCAACTATGTACAATAAAACCTGCATGAATTGGATTGTACTAATTATTTTTTTTCTGGTTTGATGAGTTTCCATTTTATTCAGGTTCTAAGATAACTACTTCCAACAATTTAACACCTCATTGAATAATAACGATCCACGAAAAAACCTTTTTTACGAGGGTTATTTTCACTATTAAGTTCCACAAGTACTTTCGACCTCCACCGAGGTCTGCTTCAGGTGGTGACTGTCGACCCGACCGTTGTAACGATGTTGCCAACGATGTAAATAAATAAACGTGCGCGTCGGGTTTCACCCCTCCGACCGCCATTGCTCGAATTCCTTGAATAAATATTTCCACGCCTGTGCAAGTGTTTCCCCGTCCTTGTAGTTGATGCAGTTGCCCCCCCCTGCTAGCTTTGTGAATCTCCCAGGCCTCCAGGTGCCGGATGTGATCCGCGCGGAACACGTGTCTGATAACTTTGGTGTTCCGGAAGTCCGCCCTTATTTCAGGGTCGGTGACATAGGTGGATAAGGCAGTGGTGTGTCTTTTATGCTTAATATCAGCTTGGTGTTCGCGTATTCGTTTCTGCGTTGAACGGATGGTGGAGCCGATGTAAACTAAAGTTATCAGACACATGTTCCGTGCGGATCACATCCGGCACCTGGAGGCCTGGGAGATTCACAAAGCTAGCAGGGGGGGCAACTGCATCAACTACAACAGGGGTGGCCAACCTTTTGCATACCATGCGCCAATTTTTTGATAGACGAGTTCAGATGCACAGTGGCGTACCGTGGGTGTTAGCCGCCCGGGGCGGAGAAAAATTTCGGCCACCCTTTAATCAGGTGTTTCAATTTAAAAGATCAAAATTCAGTTGTGTGAAAAAAAAAAATGTAAACTTGTATCACAGGTAAATTTACATATTCTGGGTTATTTTAGAAAAAGTTCATATATATAGATATATTTCAGGTACACAGTATTTAATCATTCTGTTTTTCAGATATAATAATTTGTTAATATGTTTTTATGATTTTATTAATTGGAAAGTTCATTATTGATATATAAAATAACTAAAATTATGAAAGAAATATTGAAACTAAAATTGAAATTTTTAAAAATTAGTTTCAAAAATGGATCTCTGACCAGGGAGCGTATCAGCAATGAATGTGCTGAAGGATCTTGGAAATTATTTAATGAATTACTTGAAAGTACTCCAAGAGGAAATTTTGGTAATTTAGGTAAGAAAGAGAAATTAATAAAAGCTATTTAGCATTGGAAACTTATTAATAAAACAAGTTTGAGTTCTAGTATATAATTAAATGACTACTTAAAGATAAATTTGTTTCATATTGAAAAGTATTTTTGACAAGACTATGTCTTGTTTATAAAATTGTACTGCCTGGTGTGTTACCAGCTTAGAGGTATGAAGGAGTACATGTCAGGAGTTGCAATTTGGCACATAAAAATTTGTGACCAAATCATGCACACACAAAAAAAACTAGACTTATAGGTACTCAGGACCAAGAACAGAGTCAAAATATATATCTAGTATAGTAAAATTGTGGAACCGATAAAAATTTGATGTTATATTAGGGTTGTTGTTACATCCGATGACATTATAATTGGGTTAAACTTTATATAAATTGTTTGTGCAAAATAAAAAAATGATTTTGGACAATACAATAGCCACGATTATTTTTTTTAAAAACGAGAAGTTTTCGTTATGCGTCAACAAAAATTCAACCCCACAACTGAGAGAAATTTCGAAATTGGATTAATTTTATTGAAAATGCATCGTGGATGACCTCGTAGTCGTGGCTGGCAAAGTTTGAACGATCGCACCCAAAAGCAGTGATANGCGGGAAAGTAGTTCGGCTGCCCGATGACGTTTTACGTATTATAGGAGTTATTTTTACCGTTGTTTACGGATACTGCCACAATTTTTATAGGAATCATAACTATAGGAAACGGTTTTATAGGGGGATCTACTGTATATACATAATATAACTAAAAAAGTGCTAAATTCAGGATCCACTTTATATTTAGAAATGTCTTTATTCTCTTAAAAGGACATCCTCAGCTGGAAAGAAGTTTTTTTCTGTTACAGAAATAAAGCTAGCTGAGATAATTACTTCTGTGCAGATGAAACAGTAAAGATATATATTACTAATTCATAATATGAATTGATATTGTTAAAACATAAATGAATCTTATTAAATTGAATATTATGAATGATTATTAAATTATATAAACACACTTTTTCATACATTTCCAGTACTTACTTAATACTTTGAACTACGAAAAGTGTGTTTATATTATTTAACATAAATTCCAGCTTTTGTTAAAAGTTTAATTTAAATCTTTTATTTGTTCCTATTATAAATTTGTTAAATTGAAGATAGTTGTAAGCAGTGTGGTGGAGTCTGTAAACAAAGATCACAACTGTGACTCTGACAAATTTGCAATGTGCAACTCTGACTCTGATCTTACCCTTTTTTAAAATGACACATTACGATTCCTTTTATACCACTGAGTATCCAAATATTTTTATGTAACATTTCTCTATAAAAGGTTGTACTAAAATTGATGGGGAGAAACAAAAAATGGATATAATGAATTTAATTTGAAAAAATTTTCAGGTATATAAAGAAACACACTACATCTTAGTAGCCAAAAGAATTCCTCTTTTGTTAGTTAATTATGAAAAATTGATTTTAATTTAATTATTTTCAAGAAAAAATAATTCAATACAATAAAACACAAAAAATAACAATTTGATTAATGACATAATAAATTGGTCCATAAAATAGTTTCTCCCACTGCGGCTTCAACAGAAATAGTTAATTTCCAACCAACAGTTGACTAAACTAAAGTAGAAACAGTAGAATTTTAAAATATGAAATTTGGAAAAAATCAGTCATCTTGAACCAACAAATGTGAGGTCACTGATTCACATGTAAAAAACAGGATATCCAAGCAATGCCAAATCTTATGTGGAACGTTAGGCACAGACACAACTCTCCAGTTACCTGTTTATTGTACAAAAGTTGCTTACAGCTAGAAAGTCTCCTTTCAGTGAGAGAGATTGAGCTTTCTGGATCTTCTCCCTTTCATAGAGAACAAGGGTCCTACAAGTACAAATCTCCAATGTCCACTCGGAGGTTGACAGCCTTGAGATGTTGGTCGGTGGTCTGTAGCAAGAGAGAGAGAGAGAGACGAGTCTGAGATAGGGTCGGTGATGCTGAGTATCTTTTTTCCAAATGGGGTGCACACAATAGAAATGGCATTGAGAAGCTCCTCATATCCTTCAAATTTTGATTTTTATAATTTTTTTTTCAGGTCTCAAATTTACCACTTCGATTGGTTGTTTTTTTCTCATCTCCACTTTCTAATTGGTCGTCACTAGAGGATTTGATCCCGGGATCCCGACCACTTTTCAGTCCCAAAATTTTCGGGATTAAGTTTTCCTAATCCCGAGATTTTCGGGATTGCCGAAAATCTCGGGATAAAAAAGCACTGCAAAATAGACTGTATGAAGCGAAACGTTCAGTGCCAGTGCTTTTAACAGAATTGCTTGCCTATCATTTTGATATAAAATACAAGAAACTTTATTTCAAGCAAGCAGCAGAAATTAACCTAGCGGGCTTGCGATGCTTGCTTGTAATAAATCTTCTTGTATTTTCAACTAAAATGATAGGCAAGCAGTTCTCACTGGGTTACTTGGTAATATACTTCATTTTTGTATTTTTGAATTTTCGCGGGCGCCAATCGATTTTCTGGTGCAGTCGAGACCACTGTAATAATCATAAATAACTCAAAACCAATAGAAGGGCAGTGAAAAAATTAATTAGTCAAATTAATAAAAAAAAAAAAAGAAAAACAATTTATATCCAAAGTAAACATCTGAGATGTAAAAACAATATTACACCAAGTAGAAATTATGGCACTTGAAATGAAAGTCAAATTTTTTCTCGTGACCTTCTCTTTGGTAAAGATATAAAGATTGGTTAGGGGTCCAAGTTCTTAATAATTGAGTCAACACCATGTTTAACAAAACAAATTTAATATATATCTAAAACCCAGATTACAATATACAGCTACTACTAAACATTCAGCTACTTGTTAAGTGTATATATGGCTCTCGCAAGGTGCTAGGGATATAATTCCCTCGTCCTATCTACTTCTAATTGAGAGTGAGTTTACAAGCGTAATTGAACATACTTTACCTTGTACAGCGGGCCATTGGTTCCCAATCCGGTTGTATTGGACGTTGGTGATATGGTCCATTGGATGGGCGATCGGTAGGGAGCAAAGATCTGGAGAACTGGGAGAATATGTGCTGGAAGTCACTTACATACTTCACAAGGCAAAATTTATTCCTTTGGGACTGATCACCCAAAGATTGGGTGCAGTCACATTATATCCACATTAAGTGTGGGAATCTAATCAGGTAATCATTTGTTTGATAGCAATGACATGTCAAAGGTGTCATAGCTGTCCGATTAAAACTAAACAAAGTCAATTCGAAGGTTTAGTATTTCCTTCAATTGTTTTTAGATTTCCTCCTTAGACTAAATTAAATATCAACTTTCTCACATTTGACAATCGATCACTATAACATATTTGCAATAATTTCGTGGGTCAATGTGAGGGAGGAAAGGACTTGTTGACAGTTAAGTCAATATTTGCTATTCTCCTGTTCCTAACTCTGTGGGAAATGGACTGTAAAAGGGAAAGTTTCTAAATGTATCTTTTCATTAAAAATTATAGAAAAACAGCCCCTGGATTCTCACAATATCTATTCTGAACACATTCAACATACAAAACACATACACTAAAATTGTCAAAACTTGCCCATGAAATAAAGCATCTGTGGAGAATAGATATACATAGCATGATTAATCATTTATTATACAGGCATTATACTATATACACTACACAAAACTTTAGAAACACTATAGAAACTTTATAAACATATATCAATCATATTATGGAAGGAAACCATAAAAACCAGCATAAAAAAAGCACTTTTGGAATTCCATGAGTATTTTACATTGTTAGAAAGAAGACAAAATGAAGAAATTAAACATGTAATCGTAGTTTTTGATGTAATGCTGACAGTTTTGCAGTTTTAAAATAAAAACTTGTTTGTTTTTACCTGACATAACTCTCTTGTTTTTTCAATGAGCCATCTAAAGAGATATATATAATCTCACTTAAACCGGTATGCTGGTTTTTATCATATGAAAATATCTGATTTCCTGGTCCCCCCGGATAGACCAGCATGCCAATCATTCCACGAAAATACAGTACTAACAACATATAAATAAAATAACTTTCTCAATAGCTATGCCTTGATCTTCATCCAGGCATTGGTATTAATTAAGTAGAATACAACTTGCTAAATAATAATAATAATTATTTATCTTTATTAACTTTAAATAAAGAAATAAAGATTAATAGAATAAATATATTAATTTTAAGGAAAATCTTCAAGAGTATTAGTCACAGGTGGTGCTTCTGCAAATAAATCAATTATACAAGTAAGTTTTGACTCTTGTTTTTCATTTAGAAAATTTATTTTTTTACATTTGCAGATGTAATATATTGATAATTTTTTGCATATTAATTTATATATATGAGGTGTATGATTTCCAAACTGGCCTACTCCACTTTTTGTGGGTCTGAAACATAATGGCTGTGAATGTAGCTGACACTAACCTCCAATTTTCATCTTCATTTTTATCTTTTCTTTCTGTTTTGTGACTGGTTTAGAAATTTATAACAATTATAATTGAAAAGAACAAAAAAAATGTATTTGATCAAATGTTTAGCTAATTTTTTAAAGCCATTTAAGAAACTATACATCTCATATGTATATTCAAATAAAGTTAATTTTGAAACAGTTTTTTCCCAAAGGTATTAGCTGATGTCTTTAATACTCCAGTATATGTACAAGAAATCAGCAACTCTGCATGTCTTGGTTCTGCATACAGAGCTAAACATGGTAATTAATTCTATTATGAATTAGTAGATAATGATCTTTATGTAAAACAGCCAAGGTATTTACATAAATACCTTGGCTGTTTTTTTTTTTCAAGCTCCAATGGTCCATAAAACAAATACAAGTATAAATAACAAAATAAATTTATTACCAAAAGTTAGGTACAAACATGGTTACTTTTTGACATAATCACCGTGAAGATTAAGGCATTTATCATATCTGTGGATGAGCTTGTCCATCCCATTCTCATAAAATGTTACCGCCAATAACTTGAGATGGGCCCTAATGCTGTTTTGAAGATCATCATTAGTCTCGAACCTCTACCTTTCTAACCACTTTCCCTGTTCAGGAAAGAGGTGGAATTCACTCAGCGCTAAATTGGGGCTATACGCTAGGTGTTTAAAGGTGGTGAAGACTTTCGCCCAGCTTAAAACTTTTTAATGTGAAGACTTCCACTCCTTTCCTGAACTGAAAATATGGCTTGCAGGGCAGAGGTTTGAGACTAATGAACTAATGACGATCTTCAAAACATTGTTAAGGCCATCTCAATTCACTGGCGGCAACATTCTATGACAAGGGGATGGAAAAGCTTGTCCACAGATATGACAAATTCCTCAATCTTCACGGTGATTATGTTGAAAAGTAACCATGTACCTAACTTTTGGTAATAAATTCATTTAGTTATCTACACTTGTCTTTGTTTTATGTACCATTGAAGCCTCAAAAAAAAAAAAAATAGCCCTCATATAATCATTATTGTTTTTTGTAATTGGCTATTCTATCCAATTTTTTAAACTAGATTTGTCACAACAGTTAGACATAGATGACCACTTTTACTCCTTATAATATCCTTTATTGAAATTGAAACGCATTTCAAACTCTTTAGTTTGTCTTCAGTTGATTTTACAATTGTTATTCTGACATTTGGCAACCTTATAATAAAATTTAAAA